GTCGCCCGCGGTCGTATGGGCGTCGCGTCTTCGCATGTGCCTCACCCTCGTCCATGCGGACCTCGAAGTCACTGGGATCGTTGCACAGTTCCGCGTTCTCGCGGCGCTGCAGGGCCATGAGCACCGCTCGAATGATCAAACTCGCGCGAGCGCGCGCTTCGGACGTTGCATATCCAAATACATGCTTCACTTGCACGAGAGATAATCTTGGGCTCGGACGATTGGTTTGTCGCGAGCGGACTCGGACAATTCGTCTGTCGCGAGCAAACGATCAAAAAGTCCTATAGAGGTAATTTGCCCTCAGCCTGACTCCTGACTAGGGTGTGGTAATAATTACCTCAGTCCAGTCTCCCGCCACAGTCCAGCTTCCGGCCTTAGTTACTCAGAGTTGGGCCTCGAGGCCCCACCACCACGAAGTCCCCGCAAGGACCAATCGACGTACCTCTGGCCTCGTCCTCCTGTGAGAACTCAGTCAGGTCTCGGCGCGTCAGGGGCGGCGTCTTAGTTTGTGCCGGCCCCGATGAACTCGCAGCCGAGGCGGCTCGTGCGCGCAACGGTCTAGTCGATACTTGCCAAGGCAAAGGCCACCAAAATGAAAACAGGATCCAGAGCAAAATGGGTTAGCACGAAAGAAAAAATAGGCACCGTGACATGTAAGGCTAAAAGTGTGGATGTTGTATGCCATTTTTACAAAGGCACTTGGCACGCCAACAACGTTCATATCACCGAAATCGAGAGGCACAGAGCCCCCCAACTTTGGGCCTCTGGCACCTGTGAAATAAATTGAAAGTAGGGTGCTGAAGGAAAGTTCGAAAAAAGAGTCGATGTGATGAACGAGACAAGCGCGTGCACGTCCGCCAAACGTGCCAAGCCTCAATTAATTATCTGAAAGGTCGAAGGAATAGGGCAAGGTCACGGTCCGGATGTTCCGCTGTAGAAACGTACACTCGTAGTAATGAATTTTCACGTCGCCCTCAGGACTGACAGCCCCTTGGTCCGTAAAGGCCGTCTGCGAAACCAGCCCGGTCGAGGGGCCCGCACGGAACGTTGCATCCGGAAGTCCGGCGTCCGTGTCCAGCCGCGTCCGTACTCGCGTCCGGCGCCGGCGTCCGCGGCCGGCGCCGTTTGATGCCTCGTCCGTCGCCCGTCCGGCGTGCCCCGGGAATTCAACTTGCGTCCGGCGGCGTCCGGCGCCCGGCGTCCGGCGCACGTCTGGGGCTGGTCCGGGGCACATCCGGGGCGCGTCCAAGGCACGTCCGGGCCGCGTCCGGGCGGCGCCAGACGCCGGACGCAACGGCCCGTACGGACCTCTCCGTGCGACGACCCCACTCAGGCTGAGGAGGGCGAAACAAAGACGCTGTCGTTGAAGAAGACTGCACCTCGAAACCGTGAAGGCTTCAACGCTGAGTACGCCACTCAAAGGCCGAGCTCGACGAAACAGACATGGGCTGCGGCGCGCAGAGGCGCTCGCTTCGGCAAAATTCCGGCGTCGCAAAGCGTGATTCGAATTGGGAGAGCGTGGTTTCGCCCGTATCCTTTCGAGATCGGAGAGATGCGCAGCCCGCGGCAGTTGACTGAATCCCATTGGAACTTGGTCCGCGCCGCGCGCGGGCGAGAGGACATGGTGCGCACGCGCGTCTGCGCGATGGGGGGTGTTCACGAACTGTTTTTTTTCGAGTCCCGGGGTGGTCGGGGTGAGTTGGGCGCGCCTGGGGCGCCCGGGGGCCGGAACCGACGGGAACCCATCCACCGCGTGTAGGCAAACAAGACCATCAGCAGCCCCAAATGGTGGAGCCGCGAGGACAGGGCGGGCACGGACACGGAGCGGCTCATCCTCGCGCTCATGGTCGCCTCGGGCGAGAAGGGCTACGCCAAGGAGTGGTGCCAGCAGGACGCCGTTCTGGAGGACGCGGCAGCGCACGCGGCAGAGCACGGGCTCGACACGCCGTCCGGACGCCGACGTTGTGGCGGCGCAAGCCAAAATGGGTGGCGCGCCGCTTCCACGAGATGACGTCTGACAGCACGTGGCAGCGGCTGGAGACGGTCGCCAAGGCGGCGGCCATCGTCCACCTACCCGGTAAGGCCTCCGAGCCTTTCGACACGGCCGACGCGAAGAAGTACATCCATCTGCTCCACCTCAAGGACCAGAAGCACGCGCTCCTCGGGCCCGGCGGCTCCAGACTCCAGACAGAATGGCGCGAGCCTGCCTCCAGCCCGCCGTCGCGTGCCTCTTCGCGGACCACGCGGGCCTCCTCCAGCAGGCGCTCAAGGACGTGATCGTCTCCCGGGCCACCGCGACGCCGGCTGCGGCGCGGTCGAAGAAGCAGGCGTTCCTCGACATCACCAATGTTGCGGAGCGTGAGACAAAGCGCGCGAACACGGCGGAGAAGCGCGAAGCCGCCACGCGTCGGCGCGAGGCCGCCGCGACCAAGGCGAAAGAGTCGCTCGAGCGGCGCTTCGACAAGGACGTCCAGGAGCGCGTGAAGCAGCGCATGCCCGAGCTTAAAGCCGAGGTTGTTACAAGGCGCGCGTCGACGGCATCAACGCGACCCCTAAAAAATGGTCGCGGAGAAGGAGCGCGCGCGCGTGGCGGCGGAGAAAGACCTCGCCGACGCCGAGCGCGCGCGCCTGGACGCGGAGCTCGAGCTCGCGAAGGCGCCGAAGCCCCGCGACCTCGGGAAGGTCCAGCAGCAGCGCGCCGACGCGCATCGCGTCGCGCGGTGAAGAGGCTCGCCATCGAGCTCGAGGCCTTGGAGACGTTGAAGACGCCCGCCGCCGCGGAGCCGTCGCAGGCCCAGCCCTAGGTCCCGGGCGTCGAGAGCTCGCGGGGCATGCCCTTCGACGGCGCCACGCGCCTGCTGATCCAGAACCTCCTCACGAAGAACGTGTTCCCGGCCGAGATGATCGAGGTCATCGCGGCGGTCGCTGAGGCGATCCCACCCCAAGGTCCTCGCGAAGATGCTCCCGACGAGCCGGAGGAGTCCTTCGCCGTGTTCGAGGAGCCCGTGCACGAATCCGAGGACCAGGACGGCGGCCTGGACGTCCACCTGCTCGAGTAGGACGACGACGACGACGACGTCTTCGACGACCCCTGGTCGTCTGGGAGAGAAAACTGCCTCCGAGACGGCGCCACGCGCGAGGAGCGCGCGGCCGACCAGCGCACGAGCGCGCGCGGGCCCTTAAAACAGCCGTAACTTTACGCGATCGAAGCCGTTTTTGAGCGCGGGGGACCGTACGGACCTCGTCTACGCGATGGGCGCGGAG